CAAAAGCTTTTCTGATATCAATAAAAACTACCCCTGTTAACTTGCCATTATCCATATTTTCGTACCAGTTATCACACATTTGAATTAGAGCTGTAATTGTGGAGTGCCCTGGTCGAAAGACACCAGGACTTGATTATTGTCTGCGATCTCGGCCTCTCACCCATCTTTTTTTAAATTAGAAGTTCACAAATTTATATAATAATACCCAAATTGCAATTTTAGCACAAACCTCAGCAGAGTCGATGGCTAGATTATTTGTACCACAATGGAAATATAATAACATGAGATGGGTCAATCTTTGTCTGGGTATTGTCAATAGCTTCACTAATTTCTTCACATGTTTTTCCGCGATAGGTGAATTTATGCACCGTTCTTCGAGATAATTTATTTGGATCAATGTGTTTTATAATCGAGTCACCAATTATAAGTATTGGTTTTCGCTCGTCAGGTTTTGAATTGTTGTTGTTCAGGTCTCGCTTGGATAATTATGCTGCTGCACTGTCTGTTCGATCACGATTGTCAGTTTGATTTGTTTCCCTTAAATTTGGAAACGCGTTGGGGCCGTCTTGTTCGGTTTGTTGATCCCGTTGATGGCTAGCTTTGTTTTTGCGTCTGCTTGGTTTTTGAACCGGCAGTTTACTTGATTGTTGACCCCACGGCATGTTTGTTTGGTTACTCCTTGGCTGGGATATCACTTTAATTTGTTGCTCGTTTTGTTGGGATGTCTCTTCGAGTTGTTGCTCATTTAATAGGGCTTCATCGGTAAGTACCGAATATCTGTTTGTTGAAAGATAATTGTCTTCACTGTCAGTTGATACATCAATTGGTTTGAACTGTGGGACCTTCTGCTGTTTTCTATCCGATGCAATATGCCATCTTTTGTTCCTGCCATCATCAATTTCATTTGTTTTGCAAAATTTTTAATGCAGTAATTAAGCTCTGTTTTTCTTCTCCCATCAACTTTACATGCTCGTTGAGATCCGACATTACAAGAGTTGCATTTTCCAGTTCTTTTTTTAAGTAGACATTTTCCGCTTTTAGCTGTGCATTTTCATCTTTAATAAAAGAGATATGCTCTCGTGACAATGTTAATGCAAAGCTGTCGGTATCTTGCAATTTACATACTTCGAGAGATATATCGTCAATTTTGCGTTCTAGTTTCTGCTCAATTTTCTCGATTTTTTCCAGGATCATTGTCAGATCTTCTGCAGTAATTTTGGCTGAGACATCAACTTGACTTTCCAGTGATTTATCCTCTCCATCAAAATTAATTTGGTATGGGGAGTCTTCTTGATTTTCAAAGCTACTATTTGATGTATTCATGTCATGGTCTACTGCTTCCTTCGCTAATTCTCGCAAACAAGTTTTAATATCTTCGTCTTTACTCCCGTTAAGTGTAAGTGAGTGACTATCTGAGTACCATCTTACTATTAACTGGTCTGCAACTTCCAATTTTCTACAGCTACCTCCCGGTTTTGACCAACTTGTCTGGCTCTTCATCAAATAGCGTTTGCAAAGCTTCAAATTCTCCAGACCATTTAAAACTTCCTTTGTTAGTAATAATCAGACTTCGACTACACTCTTCTACGTTAGCCGAACCAACGTTAAGTGTGTAATGCTTTTCAAAATCGCTGGATTCTCTCACACTTTCATCAGCCATGGCTTTTTAGCGCACCGAAAAAAAAACACGTCCGACTCGCTTGGAGATTCAACACGTGTGTATTTTTTGTTTAACAAAGTCTTGATTTACTTGTTTATTTCAACAGAGGTCTCGAGAGCGATAGCCTGCGTCGCATACTTCAAAACACACGATAAAACATGTGTTTTGGCAAGCAGCAAACCTAAACAGGTCTTTTGGCCTAAGACCTAAACAGGTCTTTTGGCAAGCCAAACGGCATTTGGGCACTAGCCAAATACTCAAATGGACACTGAATGTCTATTTTATTTGTTCTAAAACTGTTTATAGACTGTTTATATGCTACTGATTTTATTTAAAAATATTGAGACACTGGGTATTATTGTAGGAAGGAGTGTATAAGGTACGAACTGTTAGAGAATCCACATGTACAGTACAGAATTATAAGACAACTGCTTTTCCTTTTTTGTCTGCACGAGTATGTTGTTGAACATTTGAAGGCAAAATATTATACACCCGGCCTTTTATACCTTGCCAAGTGAATAATAACAGATAAGGTTTAACAAAGTATTTTTTATTATACATGTATAGTACAAAGTGTCTCTACATTTTGTCAGGGATATAATTGCTGCCGTAGGCAGCACACTAACACAGAGTAGAGACATACGAGATGTAACTGACCGTTGTAAACACTGCGGGTGCTTTCTTGCGGATTTTATGTAACCACTTTTTTTTTCAGGCGACGCCAAAATGATCAACTGCACGTGCTCAGCAAGTTTAAAATGAGTCGTCATCAGGTCGTCATCCAATCAGATGCATGCATCTAGTAACTTGCCGTTATCTAGTATCTAGTAGCATGCGCACAAAAAAGTGGGTACACTAGTTACGTCTCTGTATGTCTCTACTCTGTGACACTAATCTCGACAACTGATTTTCACGTCATGACTCGTGCCAGTTCCCTTGGCCAAGTTATAACGAAGCTTGAATCAAAATATAGAAGAAATTTGTATTTCTGATGCTCGGTAATTGCTCGTAAGTCGCCGTAAAGCTCTCGCTCTGTACTTTCCGCCATGATGAAAAATAGAAAAGACAATAATTTCTTTAGACACTAAAAGACCATGAATTTTGTAATTTTTAAATTCTGTAATGATTGGAGACTTGATGCTCTGCTCACACGAAGGAATACATCGAAATGACGTATAGTCTTGTATAGTGTCGTATAGTTTTCTATAGTGTAGGATAGTGTTGTAATATTATTTATAATATAGCATTTGTAGATTCTAAACGCTGATTGGCTAAGAGCCGTGTTGATATAACTCACTGTCAACACGGAAACGTCGGAAAATTTATTTCTTTATGTTTCTTTGTGGTATGTTATAAAACAAATATAAAACATTTTTTCCGTATTGATATATAGTTATATCAACACTCGTGGAAATCTGGAAAACTCGAAATTGTGTACCACACAATTTCTCGTTTTCCCAATTTCCACTCGTGTTGATATAACTGTATATCAACACGGAAAATGTTTTATATTTGTTAAATAGTCTTGTCACTAGTGTCGTATATAGTCTTCTATAGTATAGCTAGTGCAGTATAGTGTTCGGTATAGTCTTGTATAGTGTGGTATAATCTTGTATAACGTTGTATAGTGTTGTATAGTGTCGTATAGCCTTACATAGTGTTTTATATAGTCTTGCATAACGTTGTATGATGTTGTATGCTGTCGTATAGCCTTTATATAGTGTTGTATAGTCTTGTATAGCCAGGGATGCCGGAAAGGAGGGGGGCGCACGGGGGCATCGCCCCACTTGCCCTTTAGTAAGGGGCAGGGGGGCGAAAGTGCCCTTAGATAAAAATTCTAACCCAACAAATATGAGGTACAACGATTAAAAAGTATGAATTACGGGTGAAATGGACGTAATATTGAAATATACGTGAAATTTTCTGGAATGTTGTGTCAAAAATTAGGTTAACTTTCAAAATTTTTTGCCCTTGTTTTGGTGAATTAAGGTTCGGAAAATTTTTTGCCTTTGTTTTGGTGAATTAAAATTTGGGAAAAATTTTTCGGAAACGAAATATTAATTAGTGATTGCTCTTACGTCAACATTGCCCCTCTGTGCCTTACCCTCGCTCCGGCGTCCCTGTGTATAGCCTTGTATAAGTGTTGTATGCTCTTCTATACAGGGTGTCCCAAAAAAAATGTCCCTTGTCATATTTGGTGGTATTACTTCGCTATATTTAATCAAAGGTTCGATTTTTTTGCAGTGGGTTGAAAAACAATCATATTATATTAATCGTAGTATTTATCTCACCAAAAGACTTAACTGTTCGGCTTCTAGAGACACTTAACGTGGCGATACCAATTTTGCAACCCGTCCAAATTACAGAAATTAGGTTAAAAATAATGCAAACTTTGTAGAAGGATTTCTAAAGTTTCTACCTACCTTTCTGCTAAAAAACAAAATGATTTTTATCTCTATTATTAAAATTTTGTTTCTTGTAGAAATTAATAAAAAAAGATGAAAAATCCCTGGCAAATTGACAAAGCTAAGGTTGGAAAAATGCCTTAAATTTGCTGTTCCCTACGGAAGCCATGAGGGGACTTCAGATTTCAGACTTCAAACATTGGTTCCGAGCTTCGCTAATAGCCAACATTGCTTTTGCGTTCCTCCTCTTAGAATCACTTTGTTTTTGCTTTATTCTTTAGTTTATACAGTTAGCTACCTTTTTAAATGCATCTGCCGGTTGAGAAACATAAAATCATAGTTAAAAATTGTCAATTAAAATACAATTATCAATGATGCTTTAATGACGCCATATTTAAGCCGAGCAATATAAGCAAAACTTACTGAACTTCAGACATAATTTTCTCTTTGGCGTAGTCTAAAATCTCTTCAATTTAGCATTATTTTACAGATAAAGCACTAAACATACTTTTAAGTTTGTTTGCCGATTGAGAAACGTTTCGAAAAATAAAAATT